GCTCCGGCCTCCGGCGCGCCGGAGGACGTCAGCCGGGCACCGGGGAGACGTCAGCCACGTCGCCCTGGCAACGGGGGGAAGCCCAGGCACGCGGGGCGGGGTCGCTGGGAGACGCTGGGGTCGCGACCCCGGCACCAACTTTAAAATGGCCCGGCTGCACCGAGGTGGAGAGGAGAAGGAGTTGAGCATATTGCCCAGGTGGAGGCAAGCGGTGGCAGCAGTACTCCACAGGGTGAGTGGTCCGAGCCGGGCAGAGGGACGCCGGGGGACGACGGTGCCAGAGAGGAAGGAAGCAGCCCAAGGCAGAGTCAGGATTGACTGGTGGGCTGATGTGTTAAGGGGTCGCACCCCGTCAGCCGGGTTCAGGTCAAACTGAACCTGAACCCTTAGGGCCCTGGGCTGGGGCCCATGAGAGGGGACGGGCCCGGGCCCCCCTTCCCCTCCCGCCTTGCCAGGGAGAGGGGAAACGAAGATAATCGCGTGAAAAAGGGAAACTGAAGGACTCGGAGCTCTAGGACAAGAGGGAGCCCTTGGGACAAACGCCGCGGGGCGACCCGGGGCGTCACAGGGACATAGTCAAATTTTGCAAATGGGTTACATAACGATATGCTAGGTGATAATAGAGCATTTGGAATCCACATACTAGGCTATCATACTCTAGGTGGGGAGTATGATCTAATAGTCAAGACAATGGCTATTGAAAGTGCAGTCAAGTATGTAAATTTGACATTCTGAAAAGTAATGTGACTAAATGAATTTTACTTGGATCACTGTTCAGCTGTAATAAAAATAACTTTTCAGTTGCTTTATTAATAAAATACAAGGAAATGATGCATTTAGCCATAGATAGAGGTGCGAGGGGTCCATTGACAAAAACGTACACAATTCAGAGAGATATTAAAACTTGTCACGGGAAGAAGTAGGACTAAAATCATTGTATGTCTTTGTCTGTTGTTTAGAGCAGTATTGAAATGATCAATGTAGACAAACATTTATTTGTGCCATGCCATAGAAAAACTTATTGAAGGAGAGAGATAATTAATTTATGCTGTATAGTGTCTCACTAGGACTTTAGAAGCATGTCCTAGGTATTGGAAATGATGAAGCAACATTATGTGGTCTTTTATTTTCAAAATGTAGAGCTTACCAAGAAAAATATAATGGAAAAGAATTACCTGGCATGTGTATAGACGATAGGTAAGAGGCATACAACAATAGAATGTACTACAAATTCAGATTAGAGCTGCAACTAGATGTCATATATTTTTGTTTTAGTAAAATGTAGCAATACCTCAAATACTCAAAATCTAGAGTGTATAAACTGGAGCAGGAAATAATCTAAACACATTCATTTAAAATTGATCTGTTACTTAGTTCTGTTCTTTTACAATTTGTTTTTTAACATTACAAAACATTCATTTGTGCTTTGATGAGATGGGATCAGTTGAGCATGTACATTTTTAAAATTGTATTGTTTTTTTGAGCTTTTAATCTGAATTTTAAAATTATTCATTTTGTTGTTTACAGAACATTCTGGCTTTAAATCCTCAAATAAAAACTCATACAACTCTACATTCAAGTGCAGCAAAGAAACAAGAAAAGAAATTTTGGAAAAGGAATGCTGATAAGAGCTGTTCAGTAAGTATCATACTTATGACAGATCTGAAAAATGTCAGAAATTTCAGTGTTAGGTTTCCCATATAGTTAATCAGCTATCAGATTACACCTATGTAAATTAAGGTTAATGGCATTTGGCACTTACTTGAGTGATTTACTCCAGTGTAAATGAGATCAGAATCTGCCCCCCCCATTTGAAATTATGCCCCTTTTCTCCTTGCATGAAATGGAATTTTTCATTATAAACTTTCTAGTTTTTTTAATATCCATTCTATTTTAGACACTGCCTTTTCTGATCTACGTATTTATGTGTTATTTGCTCTAGCGTGATATTTGAACAGTTTTATATAATAGTAGTTAAGTCATCTGTTATATTTTTTTACTGATTACCTCTTTGATCTCCCACCTGATCAAGGATACCTGTCATGTACTGTCTCCATCTAGATTTTGCAGGATAGTCCTCTCAGCTCAGATGATCTATCTCATTAAGTTTCATGGAATGTTGTAGGCAGGATGCTATACACCCACCCCTATGAACTAATATTTAGCCTTCCTATATATTCTGTGGAGAGTACTCTGTATTATGGTATCCAATTGTATGGGTTTTTTCATTCCACCATGTTTAAGAACTGCATCCTTTCAGGATTCTAGGTGAACCTTTTATATAATCCTTGGATTTGGTCCTATAGTTGAATTCTGGGGGTGAAGAGCGTGCTGCTTCTGTATAAAGACCCTTTTTGTTCAGTGGAATTCTATACATGCACAAGAGTCTGACCACAAGTTGTGCATTGAGTGATCAATGCCTTGGTTGTAACCAGTAAGTATACTTGTATTTTTTAAATGGACATGCCTGGTTTTATGCAGCATTTATACTGTACGATGGTCAGTTAGAATTCCTGATTTTTTTTTTAATTGGTAGATGGGGAAAAATTTTAAAACACCAGTACAAAATTTGAAGTGAGTTCTACATTTCTGTCCATACAATAGTTCCTATTTTAAAACCTTGTAAAACATTTTTCCCCGTTGCAGCTTTGTGTAACTGTATTAAAAAACAAAAAACCCTTCCCACATTTCCTCTTCTGTCAAAAAAAAGTACCAAAAATACCAAGCAAACAGAACTTTATCTGGTATCCAGTTAAATGGATGGAGTTTTTAAAATTCAAAAACTCACTGGAAATATCCCTCCCTTTCTGGATTCACCACATCACCATCTATAGCTGTAGTTGATATAAATCAAAGAGTAGAGAATTATTCAACCCTCTTTTATCCTTATTAAAGCAAGGAAGATATGGTAAATAAATAAACATTGGGAGGGGTGAGTATTGATTGCCTAGGAAGCCATTTACAGATAAAATTCTCAGAGTTTAAGGCCAGAATATGCCATTTGATCATCTAGTCTGAACTGCTGTACGTTAGAGGCCACCAAACTAACCATTCTAAATCCAACAACCACAATGTATTACATCTTATGGAGGATGAGACTATTATGTTCCTCAGGAAAAGAAAAGGGGCGACCAAAATGAGTCCATGCTCAAAGCTTCTGCAGTGACAGGGACATGATTAAGTGAGATATACCTGGTAATCCTGGCAAGTGACTATTGCTGCAGAATAAGGCAACTATTCCCTCACTCCCCCACAATTAGTGCCAGTCTGACCTGGGAGAAAATGACCACTATACATGGGAGAAATGACCACTATACATGGGAGAAAATGACCACTATACATGGTGTTGTTGGGATGGCATCAGATATATCTTGAACATGTGAGTACCAACCTGCCAGCCTAGCACCTGAAAAAGAGAATGTTTGGTTCGATCTTAGACCAGATCCATACTGCCCATGCCACATTTCCAGCCATGGCCATCCCTGATGCTTCAGAGGAAGGAAGAGGGGGAAAATCCCTTCCTTACCCCATGTGGTGGCTGGCTGACAACTTGAAGAGTGAATTTTAGGGACATAAGGCAGAAATTAAAAGTGCGCCCGAGGGCTGTTGAATATTGCCCTTTATCATCATTAACAACCCTGGCATGCAATTGCACTCAGCAATTATCCTGATAACTTCATTATTAAATTAAAATAATTTAAGAGTCATTTACCCCCCCTCCCCATAACTTTTTTGGGGGAAGGGTCTGTTTCAGAATTCCTATGATGGTTAGAAACCTTCTAATTTCCATCTTGAATTTATTTGTGGCAAGTTTATATCCCTTTCTTTGTGTGGCAACATTATCCTTTAGTATAAATACCTTCATTTATAGAGAGCAATTGTGTCCCCTCTCAGACTTCTTTTTCTGCTACATTAATCAAGCCAAACTCCTTCAGCCTCCTATCCTAAGGTAGGCCTTCCATTGCCCAGATTATCCTTATAGCTCTTCTCTACACCTGTTCCGGTTTTTAAATTAATCTTTCATGATCTTAAGTGACCAAGACTATACACCGTATTCCAGTTGAGATCTTTCCAATTGTACAATAACATTAATACTTCTTTGCATGTAGAATAGTAATAGAGATATAGCCGTGTTAGTCTAGTCTAGCTGAAACAAAAAACAGGACTATGTAGCACTTTAAAGACTAACAAGATGGTTTATTAGGTGATGAGCTTTTGTGGGCCAAGGTCTGACCCATGAAAGCTCATCACCTAATAAACCATCTTGTTAGTCTTTAAAGTGCTACATAGTCCTGTTTTTTGTTTCATTAATACTTCTCTATCTCTACAGGAAATGCTTAATATCTAGAATGCCTTTTTCTTAACCATCATACTGGTGGCTTATAGTCATCCTGTGATTTATCCTTTTCTTACCTGTTTATAGTCAGATTTAATTCTGTTTGAAGTCCATGGTAATTTCATTTGTTTGTATTTACATTAGGTTACAATTTGTCCCTCAGCATCAGTTTTGCATCAAGCTATACTTACAGGAACTGGGTAGAATTACCAATGGAGGAAGGGTGGGTGTATGAAAATATAAAACTAATTAAATTAACAGCCCTCAAAACTCTGTGAATAAAAGCTGCATCTGCTGAGACATGCACACAATGACTTTGTACTGTCTAAAATGCTTCCAGATGGCAGACTTACATATTTCCTCAGAATAATCACACAAGCAAAATTTTAACTCCTAGTCTGCTCTGCTTTTGGTTGTTCTGAAAGTAGAAACTAAATGTTAATATCTTTCCAAGTATGGGAAAAGCTAAAATGTATTCTCCTTAAAGAAGGTTCCTTATGCTTTAATTGAGTATTATGACTTGTTTACTCTGTCAGACAATGAAACTGGTGTTTAAAATCTGTTTCTATGAGTATATGGAAGCTAGTTAACACCCCCAGAAACTATAGGGGAAATAATTTATTGGGATTTACAAAAGAGCGTTCAGACTTTTAAGATCTTGTAAAGGAATTCAGGGCTCTTTTTCTAAGTCACTGAATCTCAGGTGATAAACACCACTATTAAAGATTTAGTTAGTTACACCTAATCTTTCTGGCAGGTGGAACCAATCATTTCCCATGGGATGCACAAGAGGTGTGTTTCTTTGAGCCAGAATGAGGTCTGAGGCAATCCTGGCAGTCATCCAAAAAAACAGCCACGCTTGAGGAAAAAAATTAGTCAGAGGTTTTCGTTGTGTTACTGTCTTTGGATTTCCAATAGACAAAAACCTGGGAAACAAATGAGTTGTGACACTAATTTAAGTTCTGTGTTGAAGAGCTAGATGGACTATTTCCATTCACAGGATTGGCTCTCGGTATCACATTTTACTTCCACAAAGACGTCTTACTCTTGAGTAAACACTGCACCAGAGTTGCATTCTTTATTCTGTTGGGTATAAATTAGGAGGCATTTCACATTTCAATATCAGTGAAACAAATATTGTACTCATTTAGGCTATGTCTACACAGCAGCATTATTTTGAAATAACATGGTCTGCGTCTATACAGCCAGCAGTTATTTTGACATAATGCTGAAATACTGTCAAGCTGGAAGACTTCTTACTTTGACTCCCATCACCCTCATTTTATGAGCAGGGGAAGTCAGAGGAAGAGTGTTCTGTTTCAAAATAAGTGCTGTATAGACAGCACCAAAACTCGAAATAAGCTATTTTGAAATAAGCTATGCAATTGATGTAGTTTATTTTGAGTTAAATCCTGCTGTGTAGATGCACCCTTAGACTTGTCTGACCTCATTGAATTGAGAGAGGTGCACAGGTGTAAATGAAGCTTTTTTGACCCTACATATATTTTGGATAATGTATTACTCACTGGAGAAATATGAGTTTGGAGGGACTGTGGACACTCTGTGCCCCAAGCTAAAGGAGACTTGTGAATATTGAGGGATATGTTTTGATGTGGTAGAGGATGTAAGCCAAGCCATCAATTCAGCATATCTTGTCAAACACCACTTGAAACTGCTTATGCACTTTATTGATGTACCTTATTAAACAGTACAAGGAATTGCTTCAGATGGAAAAGTTGGAAGTAATTCTGCAAAAGAAAAAAAGCAAGAGGAGGAAAATAGTTTAAATTGGATTGTTCTTAATTGGCATAGCCTTTGTCTGTATTGAACTTCTGGCACTAGTAACACAGTTCTTTGCAGTAACTAATCCTAATCAGCATTTTCTAATAGCCAAACCTAATGTTAAGTGCATTTCTTGCAAGGGTATCACTTTTGGTCTAGGCACTTTGATTTAATTTTTCTGTAGCTCCTCCTAAATATCAGAAATATAAACAGATTCTTGATTGTGTCTTATTCTCTGACAAATTAAAGTGAAAATTATTAATGTGTTGTAGGCCAAGATATGGAATACGTTACATGATATAATGGGTAATGTCTATTTTAACATTACAAAAAATTGAGAGAATACTTCAAAGCAGTATTAATAAACATTTGTTCAAATGCCAAAAAGCTTTTTGCTTTGCCTCTGTGTAACTCTTTATGAAAACTTTCAAAAATGAGTTTTTTAACACAAATGTTTGAGGAATGACTGCTGTTTGTACAAATTTCCATATAGACATAGAAACGAGGGTAGAAAAGCCGG